CAATACCTGCAGTCATAAATACAAACAAAAGACATAACTCTGATAATGTGCACTGTCCCTGAAGTTGATTGGTCCACACCCGAGACAGCTTTCCTTCGAGCCTAGTCTCATATGGGTTGGACCAGATGACGCCAAAAGGCGCACAACTCAAGGACAATGCACCATCAGAGTATGAGAGCTCGGGGCAAGCATCTACACTATGGGGACCTCATTTGCCAGTAAAAATATGATAATTGGTTCTTTACCCTTCTATCTGGCAACAAAACTGACACCTTTTTGCAAGGAGTCATGTTTGCATAGACCGCAATACCTGCAGTCATAAATACAAACAAAAGACATAACTCTGATAATGTGCACTGTCCCTGAAGTTGATTGGTCCACACCCGAGACAGCTTTCCTTCGAGCCTAGTCTCATATGGGTTGGACCAGATGACGCCAAAAGGCGCACAACTCAAGGACAATGCACCATCAGAGTATGAGAGCTCGGGGCAAGCATCTACACTATGGGGACCTCATTTGCCAGTAAAAATATGATAATTGGTTCTTTACCCTTCTATCTGGCAACAAAACTGACACCTTTTTGCAAGGAGTCATGTTTGCATAGACCGCAATACCTGCAGTCATAAATACAAACAAAAGACATAACTCTGATAATGTGCACTGTCCCTGAAGTTGATTGGTCCACACCCGAGACAGCTTTCCTTCGAGCCTAGTCTCATATGGGTTGGACCAGATGACGCCAAAAGGCGCACAACTCAAGGACAATGCACCATCAGAGTATGAGAGCTCGGGGCAAGCATCTACACTATGGGGACCTCATTTGCCAGTAAAAATATGATAATTGGTTCTTTACCCTTCTATCTGGCAACAAAACTGACACCTTTTTGCAAGGAGTCATGTTTGCATAGACCGCAATACCTGCAGTCATAAATACAAACAAAAGACATAACTCTGATAATGTGCACTGTCCCTGAAGTTGATTGGTCCACACCCGAGACAGCTTTCCTTCGAGCCTAGTCTCATATGGGTTGGACCAGATGACGCCAAAAGGCGCACAACTCAAGGACAATGCACCATCAGAGTATGAGAGCTCGGGGCAAGCATCTACACTATGGGGACCTCATTTGCCAGTAAAAATATGATAATTGGTTCTTTACCCTTCTATCTGGCAACAAAACTGACACCTTTTTGCAAGGAGTCATGTTTACATAGACCGCAATACCTGCAGTCATAATACAAACAAAAGAACATAACTCTGATCAGAGTTATGTCTTTTGTTTGTATTTATGACTGCAGGTATTGCGGTCTATGCAAACATGACTCCTTGCAAAAAGGTGTCAGTTTTGTTGCCAGATAGAAGGGTAAAGAACCAATTATCATATTTTTACTGGCAAATGAGGTCCCCATAGTGTAGATGCTTGCCCCGAGCTCTCATACTCTGATGGTGCATTGTCCTTGAGTTGTGCGCCTTTTGGCGTCATCTGGTCCAACCCATATGAGACTAGGCTCGAAGGAAAGCTGTCTCGGGTGTGGACCAATCAACTTCAGGGACAGTGCACATTATCAGAGTTATGTCTTTTGTTTGTATTTATGACTGCAGGTATTGCGGTCTATGCAAACATGACTCCTTGCAAAAAGGTGTCAGTTTTGTTGCCAGATAGAAGGGTAAAGAACCAATTATCATATTTTTACTGGCAAATGAGGTCCCCATAGTGTAGATGCTTGCCCCGAGCTCTCATACTCTGATGGTGCATTTTCCTTGAGTTGTGCGCCTTTTGGCGTCATCTGGTCCAACCCATATGAGACTAGGCTCGAAGGAAAGCTGTCTCGGGTGTGGACCAATCAACTTCAGGGACAGTGCACATTATCAGAGTGATGTCTTTTGTTTGTATTTATGACTGCAGGTATTGCGGTCTATGCAAACATGACTCCTTGCAAAAAGGTGTCAGTTTTGTTGCCAGATAGAAGGGTAAAGAACCAATTATCATTGTACGTCTTGTTTACGATTGGGAACCAGAGGTGTGCGAGGCTGCAGCAGTGAAGGTTTCGAACCACTGCTCTCATGGGACATCTCCGCCGCTTTGAGACATTCCGCCTGGCCTGCCTACGATCCATCCTGGGTTTGATCAGACCGCGTAAAAGTGCGAGGAGCTCACAAGATGTCTGCAAGATCCGGACACAGTCCCCATTGTCAGTGCAGCTCCTCTGGTCGCGAGCTGCTCCTCTAGATCTACTCGGCCTTAAATACGTCCTCGGAGCAGGCGTGGTTCTGGTAACACCCTATGCGTTGGTCTTCATCGCTGCTCGCTACAGCGCACAGGAGCCTGTGTTGTTCTGCACGGGGGATCTTTGTCGCTGTGTGTCTGTGTGTCACTGCCCACGCTGGTTCTGATTCGATGGCCCCAGTGCCGGATGAAGCGAGTGCAGGGCCTGTAGAATATGTTATAAAGGGGCCCTAAATAGAAAAAAAATCACGTAAATATTAAAACACACGTTTAACTTGCACAGTAAAGTAATTGTATTTTTTTATTTGCTTCACAGCCAGATAATATGACAAATCGCTAACCTTAAACACCCAGTCGTTCGTAAAGTTGAAGGCGGTATAGTACTATAGTAATAGAGCAAGTGCAGAATCACTGAACCGGAGTTGATCGCTTGAAAGCATTTAGCGCGGGGCCCTTGAAAGTGCGGGGCCCGTAGCTACTACATATGTAGCTGCTGCAAATGTAGTAACTTCTACATGTGTAGTAGCTACTACATGTGTAGTAGCTGCTACATGTGTAGTAGCTACATCTGTGAAGTACTGAACCGCGGTTTGATTAAACTCAGGATGGATCGTAGGCAGGCCAGCCTGAATGTCTGAAACCGGCGTGTATGTTCCATTAGAGCAGTGGTTCTAAACCTTCACTAGGAGCTACACATTTGTAGCTACGACATATGTAGTAGCTACTACACATATGTAGTAGCTACTACATATGTGTAGTAGCAACAGTAGCTGCACATGTAGCTACTGTTGCTACGAGGATAATCCGGCACTGGATGGCCCCCGATGCGATCCGCATCCAACACCGAAGGTCCCCACGAGGCCAACGATGTTGTCGGAAACAAAGGCAAAGATCACCCGTACAGCCTGTGACAGACTGTCGGGGCAAGTGCTGTTAGCGAGCACCTATGAAGGCCGGCACGGCACACGAGGGGGTGGGTGGCCAGCACCACGCCCGGTCGCCTTTGTCTCCCCAGTGGCGATGTTTACTCACCGCACCAGGTACTCATTTGAGGCTGAGTCGACCTAGGGGAGGCCCAGCACCGGTTTAGATAATCGTCACTGGTGTTGGCCGTGAGCGGGAATGGACGCCGGCTCGCCAAGTTGGGAACACTTCTCGTTGTGACGCTAGAACAGACCCGGGTGTCCTCCCTGTGACCCTCCCCCCCTCCTCCACCACCACGACCACCACCACCACCACGACCACCACCACTACCACCACAACCACCACGACCACCACCACCACCACCACCACCACGACCACCACGACCACCACGACCACCACCACCACGACCACCACCATGACCACCACCACGACCACCACCACCACCACCACGACCACCACGACCACCACCACCACGACCACCACCACGACCACCACCACCACCACCACCACCACCACGACCACCACCACGACCACCACCACCACCACCACGACCACCACGACCACCACCACCACCACGACCACCACTACGACGACCACGACCACCACTACCACCACCACCACCACGACCACCACTACCACCACCACCACGACCACCACCACGACCACCACCACCACCACCACGACCACCACCACCACGACCACCACGACCCCCCTCTCACGGCCACGAGTGAAGGACGCGGCTTCTCGGCCTCAGGGCTACGGGGAACTGTGGGGTAGAGGCGGGGGGGGGACTCAACAACAACAACGACGACGACGACTCGGAGCGTGGCGAGGGGGAGGAGGAGGCACGCGTTGATGAGCCGGCGCTACCAGCAAACTGCGCAAGCTCTGCGCTCCTCGATCTATATAAAGAAAGATCTTAATCTGTGCGTGTCAAACACCTCGAGGGTACTTTCCGACAAGGCAGGAAGCTGACATTTGCTACATAGGTAGCTTTTAGGAGGCAAACAGCAGGGGAAATCAGAAAATCCGAGATCTTTTTTTATTTTAAGGCCCACAAATCTCGATTTAAAGTGCCCATTAACATGTTTGTGTGAGTCATTCAGAGATCGTTCAAAATATAAGATTGTGTTTTTTTCGTTTGATAGAGCGTTGAACAGCAACTACAACTAAATCGAGAACAATTGTTCTGTCTTTTATTTATTTTTAATATTTCGGATTAAAGCGGTTTTGAACGAAATAAAATCGCATTTCATGATGTTCAAATCTGAATAATTCGAAAACGGTAAAAGATAGGAGAATTGCCCCTCATAGAGTATTAAGTTAATAGATTTTTGTTATTTCTAATAATACAAAAACAGAACGGAATCTTTCAATCGAGCGGTTTCCGACGGGTGCGTCTTCAAACGTAACAAGTTGAATCAAGTCTTCAACAATTTTCGTGGGGGGGTTTTTTGTGGAATAATAAAATTGTTTGGAGTAGTTGTTCGCGTGTCTGATCGTAGATATAAATTATACAAAACCACATCAGGCTAATTATTATTAATTATTATTAATTATTATATTCATTGCAACCATTTGCCCGACGAACACGGGCTTCGTGAACGAGTGTATAATAATAATGATAATAAGGCGTCACCGGCCAAGTAACGTGGAGTGGACACACACGCGTGGGAGGGAGTCCTCAAGTCCTGCGCGTGCGAGAGGATAACACTGCGTGACAGACAGAGCACAATCCCCCACGGCTGTCGTCACGCTGCAGGATGCGCTGGGAAGCCGCCTCTGTCGCTAGAACCGCAACATTCGTGCGACCCCCCAGCCGGTGCCTGGCTTGCGAGGTCACGTGCCCCACAGTGACGGTGCTCCGGTGGTGATGTGAGAGGCCTCAGGAGGGTCAAGTTGAGTTCGAACTGAAGAGACGAGCGCGGGTCGCGTTCGCAAGAGTGGCCCGCCTCGCCAGAAGAGCAAAATATAAACTAATAAACTAATACGATTACGTAAAAACACAAACAGCTATTACAAAAATAGAAGTCAGCGCAAAAAACAACTGCGTCACGTGAGAAATTGAAAACGCCACGTGAACATAAATAAACTATTGGTGATGTCATGACGATCGTGACGGTGATGGGGTGGTAATGTCTCGGTGAGTCTGTGGGTCTATGGAACTCTGTGTGAGTCTGTGGGTATGTGGGTTTCTGTGTGAGTCTGTGAGTCTATGGGTTTCTGTGTGAGTCTGTGAGCATACGGGTCTCTGTGTGAGTCTGAGGGTCTCTGTGTAAGTCTGTGAGTCTATGGGTCTCTGTGTGAATCTGTGGGTATAAGGGTCTCTGTGTGAGTCTGTGGGTATATGGGTCTCTGTGTGAGTCTATGGGTCTCTGTGTGAGTCTATGGGTCTCTGTCTGAGTCTGTGAGTCTATGGGTCTTTGTGTGAGTCTGTGAGTCTCTGTCTGAGTCTGAGGGTCTATGGGTCTCTGTGTGTGTCTGTGAGTCTATGGGTCTCTGTGTGAGTCTATGGGTTTCTGTGTGAGTCTGAGGGTCTATGGGTCTCTGTGTGAGTCTGTGAGTCTATGGGTCTCTGTGTGAGTCTGTGAGTCTATGGCTTTATGTGTGAGTCTGCGAGTCTATGGGTCTCCGTGTGAGTCTGTGAGTCTATGGGTCTCTTGTGAGTCTGTGAGTCTATGGGTCTCTGTGTGAGTCTGTGGGTCTATGGGTCTCTGTCTGAGTCTATGGGCCTCTGTGTAAGTCTGTGAGTCTATGGGCCTCTGTGTGAGTCTGTGAGGCTATGGGCCTCTGTGTAAGTCTGTGAGTCTATGGGCCTCTGTGTGAGTCTGTGTGTCTCTGTGTGAGTATGTGAGTCTATGGGTCTCTGTGTGAGTCTGTGGGTCTCTGTGTGAGTCTGTGAGTCTATGGGTCTCTGTGTGAGTCTGTGAGTCTATAGGTCTCTGTCTGAGTCTGTGAGTCTATGGGTCTCTGTGTGAGTCTGTAGGTATATGGGTCTCTGTGTGAGTCTGTGAGTCTATGGGTCTCTGTGTGAGTCTGTGAGTCTATGGGTCTCTGTGTGAGTCTATGGGTTACTGTGTGAGTCTGAGGGTCTATGGGTCTCTGTGTGAGTCTGTGAGTCTATGGGTCTCTGTGTGAGTCTGTGAGTCTATGGGTTTATGTGTGAGTCTGCGAGTCTATGGGTCTCCGTGTGAGTCTGTGAGTCTATGGGTCTCTGTGTGAGTCTGTGAGTCTATGGGTCTCTGTGTGAGTCTGTGGGTCTATGGGTCTCTGTCTGAGTCTATGGGCCTCTGTGTAAGTCTGTGTGTCTATGGGCCTCTGTGTGAGTCTGTGAGGCTATGGGCCTCTGTGTAAGTCTGTGAGTCTATGGGCCTCTGTGTGAGTCTGTGAGTCTGTGTGTCTCTGTGTGAGTATGTGAGTCTATGGGTCTCTGTGTGAGTCTGTGGGTCTCTGTGTGAGTCTGTGAGTCTATGGGTCTCTGTGTGAGTCTGTGAGTCTATAGGTCTCTGTCTGAGTCTGTGAGTCTATGGGTCTCTGTGTGAGTCTGTAGGTATATGGGTCTCTGTGTGAGTCTGTGAGTCTATGGGTCTCTGTGTGAGTCTGTGAGTCTATGGGTCTCTGTGTGAGTCTGTGAATCTATGGGTCTCTGTGTGCGTCTGTGAGTCTATGGGTCTCTGTGTGAGTCTGAGGGTCTCTGTGTGAGTCTGTGAGTCTATGGGTCTCTGTGTGAGTCTGTGAGTCTATGGGTCTCTGTGTGAGTCTGTGAGTCTATGGGTCTCTGTATGAGTCTGTGGGTCTTTGTGTAAGTCTGTGAGTCTATGGGGTCTCTGTGTGAGTCTGTGGGTATATGGGTCTCTGTGTGAGTCTGAGGGTCTCTGTGTGAGTCTGTGGGTCTATGGGTCTCTGTGTGAGTCTGTGGGTATATGGGTCTCTGTCTGAGTCTGTGAGTCTATGGGTTTCTGTGTGAGTCTGTGGGTCTATGGGTCTCTGTGTAAGTCTGTGGGTCTCTGTGTGAGTCTATAGGTCTCTGTGTGAGTCTGAGGGTTTCTGTGTGAGTCTGTAAGTCTGTGGGTCTCTGTGTGAGTCTGTGAGTCTATGGGTCTCTGTGTGAGTCTGAGGGTTTCTGTGTGAGTCTGTGAGTCTGTGGGTCTCTGTGTGAGTCTGTGAGTCTATGGGTCTCTGTGTGAGTCTGTGAATCTATGGGTCTCTGTTTGCGTCTGTGAGTCTATGGGTCTCTGTGTGAGTCTGAGGGTCTCTGTGTGAGTCTGTGAGTCTATGGGTCTCTGTGTGAGTCTGTGAGTCTATGGGTCTCTGTGTGAGTCTGTGAGTCTATGGGTCTCTGTGTGAGTATGTGGGTCTTTGTGTAAGTCTGTGAGTCTATGGGGTCTCTGTGTGAGTCTGTGGGTGTATGGGTCTCTGTGTGAGTCTGAGGGTCTCTGTGTGAGTCTGTGGGTCTATGGGTCTCTGTGTGAGTCTGTGGGTATATGGGTCTCTGTCTGAGTCTTTGAGTCTATGGGTCTCTGTGTGACTCTGTGGGTCTATGGGTCCCTGTGTAAGTCTGTGGGTCTCTGTGTGAGGCTATAGGTCTCTGTGTGAGTCTGTGGGTCTATGGGTCTCTGTGTGAGTCTGTGAGTCTATGGGTCTCTGTGTGCGTCTGTGAGTCTATGGGTCTCTGTGTGAGTCTGAGGGTTTCTGTGTGAGTATGTGAGTCTGTGGGTCTCTGTGTTAGTCTGTAAGTCTATGGGTCTCTGTGTGAGTCTGTGAGTCTGTGGGTCTCTGTGTGAGTCTGTGAGTCTATAGGTCTCTGTGTGAGTCTGTGGGTCTCCGAGTCTCTGGGTGAGTCTGTGAGTCTATGGGTCTCTGTGTGAGTCTGTGAGTCTATGGGTCTCTGTGTGAGTCTGTGAGTCTATGGGTCTCTGTGTGAGTCTATGGGTCTCCGAGTTTCTGTGCAAGTCTGTGAGCCTGCCGGTCTCTGTGTGAGTCTGTGAGTCTATGGGTCACTGTGTGAGTCTGTGTGTCTATGGGTCTCTGTGTGAGTCTGTAGGTCTCCGAGTCTCTGGGTGAGTCTGTGAGTCTATGGGTCTCTGTGTGAGTCTGTGAGTCTGTGGGTCTCTGTGTGAGTCTGTGGGTCTCTGATGATGGTGGTGGTATGGCGGTGATGGTGGTTGTATGATGGTGCTGGTATGATAATAATAGTGGTATTATGATGGTGTTGACATGATGGTGGTGGTATGATGGTAGTTGTATGATGATGGTTTAATGATGATGGTGTTATGATGATGGTGGTGGTGGTTGTATGATGATGTTATAATGATGACGGTGTCATAATGGTGGTGGTGTTTGTATGATGATGGTGTTATGATGATGATGGTGGTGTTTGTATGATGATGGTGTTATGATGATAATGGTGGTGGTGGTGTAGGGTAATCTCTGTATGATGATGATGATGGTGGTGGTGGTGTTTGTATGATGATGGTGTTGTGATGATGATGGTGGTGGTGTAGGGTAATCTCTGTATGATGAAGGTGTTATGATGATGGTGGTGGTGTTTGTATGATGATGGTGTTATGATGATGGTGTTATGATGATGATGATGGTGTTATGATGATGATGGTGGTGCTGGTTGTATGATGATGGTGTTATGATGATAATGGTGGTGGTGGTGTAGGGTAATCTCTGTATGATGATGATGATGGTGGTGGTGGTGTTTGTATGATGATGGTGTTGTGATGATGATGGTGGTGGTGGTGGTGTAGGGTAATCTCTGTATGATGAAGGTGTTATGATGATGGTGGTGGTGTTTGTATGATGATGGTGTTATGATGATGGTGTTATGATGATGATGATGGTGTTATGATGATGATGGTGGTGCTGGTTGTATGATGATGGTGTTATGATGATAATGGTGGTGGTGGTGGTGTAGGGTAATCTCTGTATGATGATGATGATGGTGGTGGTGTTTGTATGATGATGGTGTTGTGATGATGATGGTGGTGGTGGTGGTGGTGTAGGGTAATCTCTGTATGATGAAGGTGTTATGATGATGGTGGTGGTGTTTGTATGATGATGGTGTTATGATGATGGTGTTATGATGATGATGATGATGGTGTTATGATGATGATGGTGGTGCTGGTTGTATGATGATGGTGTTATGATGATGATGGTGGTGGTGCTGGTTGTATGATGATGGTGTTATGATGATGGTGGTGGTGGTGTTTGTATGATGATGGTGTTATGATGATGGTGTATGATGATGGTGGTGGTGGTGTAGGGTAATCTCTGTGCGCTTCGTGGATCGCGATGGGCGCGTGCTGCCCGCGCGTGGCCGCGAGGGCGACTCCCTGCTGGAGGTGGTCACCCAGAACCAGATCCACGTCGACGGCTACGGTGAGACGGGGGTGGGCAGCGTGGGTGGTGGTGGTGGATGTTGTGATGGATGTTCGTGGTGGTTGTGGATGTTTTGATGAATGTTCGTGGTGGTGGTGGATATTCGTGGTGGTGGTGGTGGTGGTAATGGATGGTCGTGGTGGTGGTAGTAATGGATGTTTGTGGTGGTGGTGGTGGTAATGGATGTTTGTGGTGGTGGTGGTAATGGATGTTCTTGGTGGTGGTGGTGGTAATGGATGTTCGTGGTGGTGGTAATGGATGTTCTTGGTGGTGGTGGTGATAGATGTTCGTGGTGGTGGTGGTAATGGATGTTCTTGGTTGTGCATCTGCCGGTCATCTCGTGCAGTCCAACTCACGGCACCTGGATCTGCCCAGTGACCGTCGCTCAGTGAGCCTTCCACACTTCACGTGGCCTTCCAAGTGCACCTAGCCTGGCACAAGTGCTGTGGTGGGGAGCCGTAGTGTAGTGGTTAGCGCGCTGCGCTATGAACCCGCTCACGGCCAACACCAGTGACGATTATTTGAACCGGTCCCGGGCCTTTCCCTTGGTCGACTCAGCCTCAAATGAGTACCTGGTGCGATGTGTAAACACCGTCACTAGGGAGACAAAGGCGGCCGGGCGTGGTTTTGGCCACCCACCCCCTCGTGTGCCGTGCCGGCTTTCATAGGTGCTCGCTAACAGCACTTGCCCCTACAGTATGTTAAGGCTATACGGGGGATCTTTGTCTTTGTGAGTGTATGTGTGTGTGTATGTGTGTGTATGTGTGTGTATGAGTGTGTGTGAGTGTGTATGTGTATGAGTGTGTGTGTGTATGTGTGTGTGTATGTATGTGTGTATGCGTGTGTATGCGTGTGTATGTATGTGTATGTATGTGTGTGTGTATGTTTGTGTGTGTATGTATGTGTGTGTATGTGCGTGTGTATGTGTGTATGTGTGGGCGTGTGTGTAGCGGTTCGCGCGCTGCGCTATGAACCTAGCCACACGGGTTCGATTCCCGCTCACGGCCAACACCAGTGACGATTATCTGAACCGGTCCTGGGCCTCCCCTAGGTCGACTCAGCCTGAAATGAGTACCTGGTGTGGTGTGTAAACATCGCCACTAGGGAGACAAAGGCGGTCGGGCGTGGTGCTGGCCACCCACCCCCTCGTGTACCGTTCCGGCCTTCATAGGTGCTCGCTAACAGCACTTGCCCCTACAGTCTGTTAAGGCTATACGGGGGATCTTTTGTGTGTATATGTGTGTGTGTATATGTGTGTGTGTATATGTGTGTGTGTATATGTGTGTGTGTATGTATGTGTGTATGTATGTGTGTATGTGTGTATGTATGTATGTGTGTATGTATGTGTGTATATGTATGGTGCGATGCATTGACATCATCACTTGGGAGACAAAGGCGGCCGATTGTCGTGATAGCCACCAGAGGGCAGCATCGCGTCAGCCACGCGCACGTGCTCGGTGCTGCTGCGATTGTTCACGCTGCTGCTGGTGGTGCTGGTGGTGGTGTTGGTGGTGCTGCTGTTGGTGGTGGTGGTGTTGGTGGTGCTGTTGTTGATGGTGTTGATGGTGTTGCTGTTGGTGGTGGTGGTGGTGCTGTTGGTGGTGCTGTTGGTGGTGCTGTTGGTGGTGGTGTTGATGGTGTTGGTGGTGTTGGTGGTGTTGGTGGTGTTGATGGTGCTGTTGGTGGTGGTGTTGTTGGTGGTGCTGCTGCTGGTGCTGCTGCTGGTGCTGTTGGTGGTGCTGGTGCTGGTGTTGGTGGGTGTTGATGGTGGTGTTGATGGTGGTGTTGGTGGTGTTGGTGGTGGTGTTGGTGGTGGTGCTGCTGGTGGTGGTGTTGTTGGTGGTGTTGGTGGTGCTGCTGCTGGTGGTGCTGTTGGTGGTGGTGTTGATGGTGGTGTTGGTGGTGTTGATGGTGGTGTTGTTGGTGGCGGTGTTGATGGTGGTGTTGTTGGTGGTGCTGTTGGTGGTGCTGCTGCTGGTGCTGCTGTTGATGGTGGTGTTGATGGTGGTGTTGATGGTGGTGGTGGTGTTGGTGGTGTTGATGGTGGTGTTGATGGTGGTGGTGGTGGTGTTGGTGGTGTTGATGGTGGTGTTGTTGGTGGTGGTGTTGATGGTGGTGTTGATGGTGGTGGTGGTGTTGGTGGTGGTGTTGTTGGTGGTGGTGTTGATGGTGGTGTTGATGGTGGTGGTGTTGATGGTGGTGTTGATGGTGGTGCTGTTGGTGGTGGTGTTGTTGGTGGTGTTGTTGGTGGTGGTGTTGATGGTGGTGGTGTTGTTGGTGGTGTTGGTGGTGGTGTTGGTGGTGGTGGTGCTGTTGGTGGTGGTGGTGTTGATGGTGTTGATGGTGTTGGTGGTGTTGCTGTTGGTGGTGGTGGTGGTGCTGTTGGTGGTGCTGCTGTTGGTGGTGCTGTTGGTGGTGGTGTTGATGGTGGTGGTGGTGTTGGTGGTGTTGGTGGTGTTGATGGTGGTGTTGTTGGTGGTGGTGTTGATGGTGGTGTTGGTGGTGCTGCTGCTGGTGCTGCTGTTGGTGGTGGTGTTGGTGGTGCTGTTGGTGGGTGTTGATGGTGGTGTTGATGGTGGTTGTGTTGTTGGTGGTGTTGGTGTTGGTGGTGTTGGTGGTGTTGGTGGTGGTGCTGTTGGTGGTGGTGTTGATGGTGGTGTTGTTGGTGGTGTTGGTGGTGCTGCTGCTGGTGCTGTTGGTGGTGGTGCTGCTGGTGCTGCTGTTGGTTGTGCTTTTGGTGGTGGTGTTGATGGTGGTGTTGGTGGTGTTGATGGTGGTGTTGTTGGTGGCGGTGTTGATGGTGGTGTTGTTGGTGGTGGTGGTGTTGATGGTGGTGTTGTTGGTGGTGCTGTTGGTGGTGCTGCTGCTGGTGCTGCTGTTGATGGTGGTGTTGATGGTGGTGTTGATGGTGGTGGTGGTGTTGGTGGTGTTGATGGTGGTGTTGATGGTGGTGGTGGTGGTGTTGGTGGTGTTGATGGTGGTGTTGTTGGTGGTGTTGTTGGTGGTGGTGTTGATGGTGGTGGTGTTGTTGGTGGTGTTGGTGGTGGTGCTGTTGGTGGTGGTGTTGATGGTGGTGTTGATGGCGGTGGTGGTGTTGGTGGTGTTGATGGTGGTGTTGTTGGTGGTGTTGTTGGTGGTGGTGTTGGTGTTGGTGGTGTTGATGGTGGTGTTGTTGGTGGTGTTGTTGGTGGTGGTGTTGATGGTGGTGGTGTTGTTGGTGGTGTTGGTGGTGGTGCTGTTGGTGGTGGTGTTGATGGTGGTGTTGATGGCGGTGGTGGTGTTGGTGGTGTTGATGGTGGTGTTGTTGGTGGTGTTGTTGGTGGTGTTGTTGGTGGTGTTGGTGGTTGTGTTGGTGTTGATGGTGGTGTTGTTGGTGTTGTTGTTGGTGTTGTTGGTGTTGTTGTTGTTGATGGTGATGGTGGTGTTGGTGGTGTTGGTGGTGTTGTTGGTGTTGTTGTTGTTGTTGTTGATGGTGGTGGTGTTGTTGGTGGTGTTGTTGGTGGTGGTGCTGTTGGTGGTGGTGTTGATGGTGGTGGTGTTGGTGTTGTTGATGGTGGTGTTGTTGGTGGTGCTGCTGCTGGTGCTGCTGTTGATGGTGGTGTTGATGGTGGTGTTGATGGTGGTGGTGTTGTTGGTGGTGTTGTTGGTGGTGTTGTTGGTGGTGGTGTTAATGGCGGTGGTGTTGTTGGTGGTGTTGGTGGTGGTGCTGTTGGTGGTGGTGTTGATGGTGGTGTTGATGGTGGTGGTGGTGTTGGTGGTGTTGATGGTGGTGTTGTTGGTGGTGGTGTTGTTGGTGGTGTTGGTGGTGGTGGTGGTGTTGGTGGTGTTGGTGGTGGTGCTGTTGGTGGTGGTGTTGATGGTGGTGTTGTTGGTGGTGGTGTTGGTGGTGTTGTTGGTGGTGGTGTTGATGGTGGTGTTGTTGGTGGTGTTGTTGGTGGTGCTGCTGCTGGTGGTGGTGCTGTTGGTGGTGGTGCTGTTGGTGGTGGTGCTGTTGGTGGTGTTGGTGGTGGTGTTGGTGGCGGTGTTGATGGTGTTGATGGTGTTGTTGTTGGTGTTGTTGTTGGTGTTGTTGGTGGTGTTGTTGGTGGTGTTGGTGGTTGTGTTGGTGTTGATGGTGGTGTTGTTGGTGTTGTTGTTGGTGTTGTTGGTGTTGTTGTTGTTTATGGTGATGGTGGTGTTGGTGGTGTTGGTGGTGTTGGTGTTGTTGTTGGTGTTGTTGGTGTTGTTGGTGTTGTTGTTGATGGTGGTGGTGGTGGTGTTGGTGTTGTTGGTGGTGGTGCTGTTGGTGGTGGTGTTGATGGTGGTGTTGGTGTTGTTGATGGTGGTGTTGTTGGTGGTGCTGCTGGTGCTGCTGTTGATGGTGGTGTTGATGGTGGTGTTGATGGTGGTGTTGATGGTGGTGGTGGTGATGGTGGTGTTGATGGTGGTGGTGGTGTTGGTGGTGTTGATGGTGGTGTTGTTGGTGGTGTTGTTGGTGGTGGTGTTGATGGTGGTGGTGTTGTTGGTGGTGTTGGCGGTGGTGGTGGTGTTGGTGGTGTTGGTGGTGGTGCTGTTGGTGGTGGTGTTGATGGTGGTGTTGGTGGTGCTGCTGCTGGTGCTGTTGGTGGTGGTGCTGCTGGTGCTGCTGTTGGTGGTGCTGTTGGTGGTGGTGTTGATGGTGGTGTTGGTGGTGTTGATGGTGGTGTTGTTGGTGGTGGTGTTGATGTTGGTGTTGTTGGTGGTGTTGTTGGTGGTGCTGCTGATGGTGCTGCTGTTGATGGTGGTGTTGATGGTGGTATTGATGGTGGTGGTGGTGTTGGTTGTGTTGATGGTGGTGTTGATGGTGGTGGTGGTGTTGGTGGTGTTGATGGTGGTGTTGTTGGTTGTGTTGTTGGTGGTGGTGTTGATGGTGGTGGTGTTGTTGGTGGTGTTGGTGGTGGTGCTGTTGGTGGTGGTGTTGATGGTGGTGTTGATGGTGGTGGTGGTGTTGGTGGTGTTGATGGTGGTGTTGTTGGTGGTGTTGTTGGTGGTGGTGTTGATGGTGGTGGTGTTGTTGGTGGTGTTGGTGGTGGTGTTGTTGGTGGTGGTGTTGATGGTGGTGGTGTTGTTGGTGTTGTTGGTTGTGTTGTTGGTGGTGTTGGTGGTTGTGTTGGTGTTGATGGTGGTGTTGTTGGTGTTGTTGTTGTTGGTGGTGTTGATGTTGGTGGTGGTGTTGTTGATGTTGGTGTTGTTGTTGTTGGTGTTGTTGTTGTTGATGTTGTTGATGTTGTTGTTGTTGTTGCTGTAGGCGCGTGCGAGGGCACGCTGGCGTGCTCCACGTGCCACGTGCTGCTGCCCCGCGACACCTTCCACAAGATGGAGCCGCCCGGCGACGACGAACTCGACCTGCTCGACCTCGCCACCGGGGTCCAGAGCACGTGGGTAGCGCCACTCACCACTCACCACTCACTCACCCACTCACCACTCACCCACTCACCACTCACTCACTCACCACTCACCACTCACCACTCACCCACTCACCACTCACCACTCACTCACCACTCACCCACTCACCACTCACCCACTCACTCACCACTCACCCACTCACCACTCACCACTCACCACTCACCCCTCACCCCTCACCACTCACCCCCTCACCACTCACCCCCTCACCACTCACCCACCCAAGGCCTCACTCTTGATCCGTCATCAATCTGAGCCCAGACCTGGTGTCCGGAGTGGGTGGCAGGGCGAGACGATTGAAGTCTCCACATCGTGTTGGTCCCACGGGCCCAGTGACCGACTGGGCAGAGGGTCGCCAAGCAACGCGAGGAGCCGAAACGTCGCCCTGACTCCCACAGCCACCGAACCCGCTCCACGTCGTGCGCTCGCCGCTGCCACCGCCTCCACTCCCACACAGATCCCGGAGAACGCTGGCGGAGCCGAGTGGAGCAAATCCAGAGCAGACTCCTCGCTCCAGACGCACACATAGCCCGCAGCCCCTGCCTCTGAGCCCCCTCCACCCCCCCTCCTCCTCCACCCCCTTTTCCCCCTCCTCCCCCTCTCCTCCCTCCTCTTCCTCCCCCTCCTCCTCCTTGAAGACACCGCTGCTACTGCTGCTGCTGGAACCGTGAACCGCACCAAAGCATCACCAGCAAGCCAATGCGCGACATCTTGCACCTCCGATTAGCACGGCTGGCTACGTACGGTGCGAAAGAAGTCCGACATTCGTGTGTACATCTGCTTCGTGAGTGGAACGTGAAACACGCACGAGCCAGAGTCGTGCACTGGTGGCCAAGCAACCCACACGAAGGAGCGCAGAGTGAAGCGCCGGGGTGTGGTCTGCGCTCCTTAAATGGAGGAGTGACAGAAACACGACACGAACTCTCTCTCTGCCTCTCGCTCTCTCGCCTGGAGACCGCTGTGGGTTACCAGCAGATCTCCACGCCGGCATTTAGCTCCTGAAAATGACCCCTTATGGACGACTAGAGACACCTCGCCCCCACTCTCCAAACACGCGAGCGTTGACACGTGACCTCCGACACGTGCAGTGATGGTGCCTCTCCCCCACCCCCCGCCTCCCAGATCTCGTCTCGGCTGTCAGGTGACGCTGACGCGTGACCTCCAGGACGCGACCTTCACAATTGCCAACGGGAGCGTGGACACACGAAACCAGGGCCTCAAGCAGGACTGAGGGGCTCGCAACTCAACCAGACCAGGGGACCATCAGACCCAACCAGCAACCATCAGACCCAACCAGAGATCATCAGACCCAACCAGAGACCATCAGACCCAACCAGAGACCATCAGACCCAACCAGAGACCACCAGACCCAACCAGACACCACCAGACTCAACCAGAGACCACCAGACCCAACCAAAGACCACCAGACCCAACCAAAGACCACCAGACCCAACCAGAGACCATCAGACCCAACCAGAGACCATCAGACCCAACCAGAGACCATCAGACTCAACCAGAGACCATCAGACCCAACAAAAGACCATCATACCCAACCAGAGACCATCAGACCCAACCAGAGACCACCAGACCCAACCAGAGACCATCAGACCCAACCAGAGACCATCAGACCCAACCAGAGACCATCAGACCCAACCAGAGACCACCAGACTCAACCAGAGACCACCAGCCTCAACCAGAGACCATCAGATCCAACCAGAGACCATCAGACCCAACCAGAGACCATCAGACCCAACCAGAGACCATCAGACCCAACCAGAGACCATCAGACCCAACCAGAGACCATCAGACCCAACCAGAGACCATCAGACCCAACCAGAGACCATCAGACCCAACCAGAGACCATCAGACCCAACCAGAGACCATCAGACCCAACCAAAGACCACCAGCCTCAACCAGAGACAACCAGACCCAACCAGAGACCACCAGACCCAACCAGAGACCATCAGACCCAACCAGAGACCATCAGACCCAACCAGAGACCACCAGACCCAACCAGAGACAACCAGACCCAACCAGAGACCATCAGACCCAACCAGAGACCATCAGACCCAACCAAAGACCACCAGCCTCAACCAGAGACCACCAGACCCAACCAGAGACCATCAGACCCAACCAGAGACCACCAGACCCAACCAGAGACCATCACACCCAACCAGAGACCACTGGGGCCAATCACCGGATGACGCTGGTGGAGGGGGTCTGTCAGCGAGCCCTAATTAAATAAACATAACTCTGCAGTCACATGGCGTGCTATTAAACACCCGTGAATCTCTAGATCTGTTCGACATTAAAGAACCGATGACTGCAATCAACATTTGTGCTCATATGTTTCTTTATACATTTTCCTTCGCGTTGGTGGGGTTTTTTTGCCTCTGCGTTTCTGAATGTAGTGCGTGTGTGTGAGTACGTTTACGTGTCAGCATTGGGGCAGTTGTGGAGAGAGTGGAGACGTGTCCTTACCTGGGCAGCCTGTTTTTAACCAGCTCAGATTCAGCAGCAGATGTCTCACTCCGATTCAGTTGAGCGGCATTTTATTTGCATCGCCCTCTCTGGAGGTGCGAGACATCGTCAGTTTTTTTTAGAAGGTAAATCATCGAAATACAAATATTGTCATCACCTATGTAAAACCATGATTAAGTTACCCGGTCTGTCACTTCACACGAAACTCCGGGTCTTCTCGGCAACAGTTATGACTTCCCTTCTCTATTCTTGCGAAATGTGGAACATCCCTGCCGGTTTGAAACATTCAGGCTGACTCATCCAGTGGGGTCCGTCCTGGGTTTACCCGGCTGGACCGTATTTGCGCATATCGCCGCTAAGTACTCAGATTGTAAATGTTGTGGCTTGGCTCTCCAACACACCGGCGGGCTGTACTAGTGTAATGCGATCAAGGACAGGGTGGGCGCTGCCTCCGCACCACTCACGCGGGCCGGTGTATTGGAGAGGCGGAGCCTGGTCGTCAGGGTGAGTGGGGGTGGAGACAGGGGCAGGATGAGAAGGTGGAGTTTGGGGTCACGTGAGAGAGGGGGAGAGGAGAGTGAACGACGGAGGGAGCCACGCTGGCGGTGGAGGGAGAAGTGGCGCCATTGCCACGTGGTCGGGGCCGATAGGCGCACTGGGGTCCAGCGTGCGCGGGCAGCGGAGCGTGCGGGACCGCACGGAGATAGAGAGCCAGCAGCGGTGTGCGGGGTACCCGAAGGGTGGTGTGGCCCGGGCGGGTGAGGAGAGAGCACACGGGGGGGGCCGGAGGAGACGGCGTGGAGAGAGTCACACGGAGCGTGCGCAGGGCGCACGGCGAGGGTCGGAGCGAGGACCAGCGGGTGCGAGGAAAGAACCCAATAAAGGACCAACGGAGAGCGACATCTTGTGAAGGAGTCCTTTATTACACTGGTGTCAGAAGTGTTTGCGAGGATGCGTTCCGCTAAATTGAAGTTTAAGCCTAAAAAGTGTCACCTGTTGCAGCGATCCGTGCACTATTTGGGCCACATAGTCAGCTCGGACGGGGTGGCCACTGACCCGGAGAAGATGGCGTGCGTCCGGAACTGGCCGACTCCGGCCTCAGTGGGGGACGTGCGTCGGTTCTTCGGGTTCGCTTCTTATTACCGCAGGTTCGTGCCTGACTTTGCCACGATCGCGAGGCCTTTACACCTCCTTACGGCGAAGGGCCGGAGGTTCAGTTGGGGACCGGTGGAGGAGGCGGCATTTCAGAGCCTATGCGATCGGTTGGCATTGGCACTGACGCTTGACTATCCGGATTTTTCTCGGCCATTTATCCTCGATACCGACGCGAGTGACACGGGGATTGGGGCCGTCCTGTCCGAATCTAGGGACGGCGTCGAACACGTAGTGGCTTATGGAAGCCGCGTGCTGTCTCCGGCGGAGACCCGCTACTGCGTTACTCGTCGGGAACTCTTGGCCATAGTACATTTTCTTCGCCAATACTGGCCGTATCTATACGGCGGTACGTTTATTGTGCGCACGGATCATGCTGCACTGCAATATGCCCTGAGGGTTGATCAACCGTCTGGCCAATTGGCACGATGGTTGGAAACCCTGCAGGAGTTTTCATTTGAAATTCAGTACTGGAAGGGATTGCATCACGCGAACGCGGACGCGCTTTCTAGATTGCCGCAGGGGTCCCCGTGCGCTTGCACTTCGGTCACAAATAGGTGCACGCGGGTTCCGCTGCCACCTCAGATGGTTATGTCCACTGTGGAGGTGCCTGAGGCTCCCGCGTGTCCAGAGCCGGCTGATGGGGTTTTGAATTTGCCACGTTCAGTATGGGTTCGCGAACAATTGCTTGATGACTCGCTGTGGGTCTTGCGGGGTCGGGCTGCGAAGGTAAGGGGTGGCCCGCTATCCGATGGGACGCCGGGAGCTGCTCCCCGGGATGGCTTGCTGATGTGGAGTGAAGGCTTGCACGATCGCTGGCGGCTTGTTGTGCCGGTGTCGCTGCGATATGAATTGATTCGGATTCTGCATTCCGAGAAGTTATTACATCTCGGAGTGCAGAAAACCTTGTTGACATTACAGCAGGATTATTTTTGGCATGGCATGACGACTGATGTCGTCGGGCACATTCGGGCGTGCTCCGACTGTGCCCGACGGAAACCGCCTAAACACCCATATGTTCCGCCAGTGCAGTCCATACAGGTGTCACGGATTAATGAATTAGTGGCGTTGGATATTTTGGGGCCCTTTCCGCCATCCGCTCGGGGTAGCAAATTTTTATTGGTTGGAGTGGAATATCTTTCCCGCTGGCCGATGGCCTGGCCCTTAGCCGATCAGTCAGCGGCGTCTATCACGGAGGCATTCCTGTTCGGATATGTAATGGACAAAGGGGCACCGGAAAGGTTGCTTACGGACCAAGGGCGAAATTTTTCTTCTAAATTATTGGCTGAGGTGTGCGCTGCACTGGGGACCAAGACGGTACGGACGTCTCCCTACCATCCACAGATGGATGGGATGGTTGAACGTCTTAATCGGACCCTATCGGCGATGCTCTGTCATACGGTTAGCGAAAAGCAGGCTGATTGGGATTTGCATATCCCTGGGGTGTTCTCCGCGTACCGGATGACGCCACATGCGTCGACGGGGTACTTGCCTTTCTTTTTGATGTACGGCCGCGAGAACGTGCCGCCGGTGGACGTGCAGCTGAGCATGGGGGTGAAGGGTCCTGTTAAGCCTCTCCCCGATTATATTCGGGACACCGTTCGTCGCATGGCTGAGGCGCGGGAGGGGGCCCGATTGGCTACTGCCAAGACCCAGGCCCAGAACGAACGTTGTGCACGACGCTCGCATGGTGAGTCCCCCTGGCGGGTGGGGGACATGGCCTGGCTGGACTGCCCGCAGGTACCGGTGGGGACCTCCCCTAAGTTACATAGGCCGTGGCAGGGGCCGGTGGTGCTTATTGAGGTTCCTAGTTCGCAGTCTGCGCGTGTTCGGTTCGGATCGCGGCGTTGGTACGTGCATACGTCCCGATTGAAACCCTATGTGGCCCCGCGGACAGATGCGTCATCTCCTAATGTTGCCTTGCCGGTGTCTGTCGCGACCGACGCGCCATTGACTTTGCCTGTTCAACCTGCAAGCGCGCCTGTCGTGCCTCCTGTAGACGGACCGGCGGTGATCCTGCCGGTAATGGTGATTCCTGCTCCGGGTGGGCCTACCACGGCGATGGGGACACTTGACCCCGCTGCCCCTACAACCCCACCTCGGGCGCAGTTGCGGGAGGGATCGATGACGGGCCTCTTTGGGGAACGGGACGCTGGGAGTGACGGGCCTCCAACAGCGGTGGGCGGTTCCAGTCCCGCCGCTCCTAAAACCCCGTCAAGGCCACGGTCCGCACGGGGGGGCACCCCCGTGCAGGTCGGCCCGGCGACTCGCACGCGTTCGAAATCCCTTCCCTTTCGTTAATTGTTATTGTTCTTCTCTCCGTTGTCTTCTTATGCCGGTGTGTCATGTGTTGCTCGCATTACTGTTGTTCTGTTGCAGCCGAGGACGGCTGGCTTTTTCATCGGGGGGGGGGGGGGTAGTGTAATGTGAGCAAGGACAGGGTGGGGGCTGCCTCCGCACCACTCACACGGGCCGGTGTATTGGAGAGGCGGAGCCTGGTCGTCGGGGTGAGTGGGGGCGGAGACAGGGGCAGGATGAGAAGGTGGAGTTTGGGGTCACGTGAGAGAGGGGGAGAGGAGAGTGAACGACGGAGGGAGCCACGCTGGCGGTGGAGGGAGAAGTGGCGCCATTGCCACGTGGTTGGGGCCGATAGGCGCACTGGGGTCCAGCGTGCACGGGCAGCGGAGCGTGCGGGACCGCACGGAGATAGAGAGAGCCAGCAGCGTGTGCGGGGTACC